GATCTAATGGAATATAATGTTCATAAGTATGTTTTCATTAGTGTATAATCACCTGAATATAAGAATCGTACCTTAGAATGAGCTACACAGAGTTTGCCAAGTTTCTACAGTAGCCCAGAATGGTCCTGTATAGGGCCTTTTGCGTTTTTTGCCAGTTTTGCAGCCACCGTAGTTTCTCCTACACACACAGCACGTTCTCATTCCCAGATTGTAAAATACAGATGCGAGTGGTGTTCAGTTAGTTTCAATCTGCAACTACGTATCTGCAACTACGCGCTAGATGCCACGAAATCCTAAACAATCAAGCTTGACCCTATGTGTCTAAGTGACTAATCGGGACAATTCTTTTTCAGATTGGTCCAGTATTGAGAAAGCCTGCTGCAGTTGGCCACAAAACAAAATTGGCTGCAAGTAATCCTTCGGCGACCTGCCTGTCTGCCTACCTACGTGCCTATCTCTGCGCACTCTGGGAGAGTGGCTGAGGAAGACCTGAAGGGAGGGGGGATTTTTTTTCGGTTGGATACTTCAAAATCTAGCTGTCTCTTGCTAGTTTCTCCAACGTTACTGACCCGAGCATCAAAGTGATACACATACAAATAGAGAACTTCATTAGATATTAGGAGACAATTAATCAATGATCGATTCATCTGCCGTTAAGAATTTGATCCTAGTGTCCTTTTACATTCTTCATTGATCTGATTTCTACTAAATTTGGTGACTTCACTTTACCACAAAAGAGGTGACATATTTTCTCCCATTGTCTCCTTCCAGTCTTCCTGGTGGTTAACAATCTGCATACTTGGAAATATCCAGCATTGTTTCCTCCTTTGGAAGATGCCATTTGCTCTTGTTTGTTCCTGTAATGTGTAAAAAAACAGCTCCCACAGAGCAATATCATCCATCACAGCATGACACCTACATTTGATTCGGTCTAAGTTTGTGTATGAGTGTTTGTTTCTTCGGGCCTGAGCAGAGTGTTTTTGTATCACTGCCACATTGCATGACATTCTCCTCCCTGTCATTCAGCTGACACCAGAGGAAAAGAAAGTCTGTTCCAGGAAATAAACATGGCACCTAACAAACTTCAGTGATGCATTCGTGTCCTCCTCTTTGTTGTGTCTTTTTTCAGGGCAGCAGTTCAGTTCAGTAGTGTGTGTTGTAAAGTTTGCATTAAGACATTCACAAAAGGGGGCACCTGGTAGCTCACCTGGTAGAGCCCCATGTACCAAGACTGAGTCCTCGCTGCAGCGGGTTTCAGTCCGACCGGTGGCCCTTTGCTGCAGGCTTCAGCTGTCACTATTGATTAAAACAAAAAATAAAGACATCCACAAAAGAATTAAACAAGCTTGCATTTGATTAATAATAATCAGTGTATTCAGTCACATGTAAATGGCCTATAACTCTGACTGTCTAATGATGGAGTTCACAGCCTGTTTAGAATACTACTGTAACTCCTCAGCTGCTTTGCTGTTGGTCATTAATCATATTTGACAGGCGGATCTGATATTTCCTACGTGATCATTCCAGGACGTCCAATCAGCAGTCAGCATCTGCAGGCAAATGCGACTGTGCCAGATGCTGAGATAACTCTCCTCCCTTTGCTATCTTGTTGCCTTCCCTTCCATCAGTTGCTCTGCTGAAAGTTCATTGGATATGAAGTGATAAAGACAGAACATGGGCTGATTGGGTGACAGAATTGTGACAAAACCACTACTGTTTGGTCCAATTAATCTGTTGCATATACAGTAGGCCTGAGTCTAATTCCATCACACACACCATTTTGCAATATAATAGCAAATAAAGCATGATTAAACAATGTATGATTATGTTCAGTCACCCACAGCACTTGTTTGACAGCTAATATAGTTTTAAAGTTACAAAATGAATGAAATGCAGAACAAAAAGTACAAGTACTGAATCAAATAATCTCCCTGCTGACATCAGGCCATCTGACTCTGTTGTGTCCTTTAAATCCAAACTTAAAACGCATCTTTTCACTTCAACTTTCAATTAATTATTTATTCTTTGATCACTTTGAGCTGTTACAATTATTCTTCTTGCAGGTTGGTCTCTTATCTTTTCCCTGTGTAAATGGTGTCCTTGAGTTTTACCTCCTGTGTGTCTGTGCCACGTGTCTTCTTTCCAGGTCCATGGTGAAGAGGAGGTTGTGTGGCTCTGATCCTACCTGTTTAGGCAGCACCTACATTGTGTCTGCTGCAGTTGATATGGTAAGCAGTGTTTTGTGACATTCTGCCATGAGGTGGCTGTCTGAGTTAGAGTTGGTGTGTACGACACACAATACAATAATGTATATGATACGCAGTTATTAAACATAACAACTGGGAAGTTGTAAGTTGTACTCCCAGATCAATATTCTTCACATACATTTACAATATATCCTACCAAATTATTGTAACCATGGCAATTTTTGAAATCTGTCTGTCCTGGAACATAGACCCCTCTTCTGTTTCTCTTCCTGAGGTTTCTTCCAGTTTTTCCCCATTAAAGGTTTTTTATCTTCATATTAACTGAGATGTAAGCTATAGAGTACAAATTGTGAAACCCTTTAAAGCTGCAAGAGGTAACTTTTATTAAAATATTACTGAATACATATTTACTGAAACTTTCAATATATCCTGACAGTAGAACATAAGACAGATAATCTGTGAGAAAACAGCTTCCTCTGGCTCTTCCTAGTGCTCCTAATGGAATTTGCAAAAAAACATGGGCCTGAACAAAAACAACCAATCAGAACCAAGAAAGATAGCTGAATGTTGAGTCTCATTC